AATGTAGATAGTCCCATTTTTCAGAAGACAAACTGAGAGGCAGAGAGAAGTAAACAGCCCCTGGGTGCGGCTGTGCAGTGACTGGGGGCTGGAGTAACACCACACCTGCTCCACTCCCGTGTCTGGGGCTGCCTAGCACAGCGTGGCCTGGGCTATGGCCTGGCCTGGGCATTGTCAAAGGCAGCTCCATTCACTTCCTGTCCATTTGAATCTGCTCTGTCTCTTACCTCTGCTGAGGTACCAGGAGCTTAGGGGCCCAGAGAAGGGACACTAATGCCTGAACATGGCTCCACACCTGACCTGGCCTTAGAGGGGATGCATATGCAAATGCTTGGAGGAAGGACAGCATAGAGTGTGGAGCATTCAGTGGCATGGGCCAGAATAGCTTGTGTGGGAAGAGAGACAGACCCAGGACCTGTGAGAACCTGGCCTGCAAGGCGGAGGGGCAGGAAGGGTGCAGTAGCCAGTGGGAACCACGGTGGAGGTTTGAGCTTGAGGGGTGGCTGCTGCCCAGTGAGGTGGGGCAGGTTTATCCTGTGTCCTCCTCAGCTAATACAGACTGTACCGTTTTCTCAGGGGACCAATCCAGAGGATGACGCTATGGATTGTAGAACTTTGGCCTCATTATGATCAAATGAGTGGGTGTTGTAAACATCTCTGTGAGAAAGAGGAGGCTAGGGAAACCCGGGGCTGAACCAGGCAGTACGGGAAGGAGAGGCAGGATGGCAGCAAGAAAGAGCACTGGGCTGGGTGTCAAAGGGGTGGCCTCCCAGCTCCTCCCTGACTGGCCTGGAGGCTTTGGGCAGGAGTGTTAGTTTCCCTGGTACTCAGGCTTAAGGGGCGTTGACAACCATCTCTTCCTTCCAGGGAGATGGTGCGGACCTGATGCAGGGAAAGATTGTGTGTGGGCCATATGCAAATGTAGTCATCATACTGCTCCTAGTGTGGCTTCTTGAGGCCCCATGACAATAGGAGAGGGGAAGTTGGGAGAAACTTTGATGAGTGATGGGTAGAAGGGGGAAGGGAAGGCCTCAGGGACCCTGCCTAGTGAAGCTCCTAGTTGAGGTTATTCTCGCCAACCTCACCCCCAGAGACTCTGCTTGGGGTTCTGATCTCATTACTGACTGGGCTATATCCCCTACCCTCTGGGACCACAGCATGTTGAGGTAATGGGACAAAGGGCCAGCCATGGCATGTGGCCAGGTCAGCTCCCTGCCCCTTGGGGCGAAGTCCACGGGGCAGGAGTCTCTCATCTTCCCAACAGTGCTGAGGCGAACTTTGCTGTGGTCAGGAACACACCTCACATACCTGCGGCTGCATGCTTTATCACTAGCTGTCCTGTGGCTGCTGACTCACCTCTGAAGAAGAGGGCATGAGAAAACAAAAGAGGTTGGGTGGAGGTCAGATCCAAGATCACACCACAAAGAGATGCCAGGACTGGCAGTGTCCAGCCAGTGGTGAAGTGCCCTAGGTTTTGCCCACACAGTGAATGCCAGCAGCCTGCCACCATCACCAGTGCCCAACTCCATTGCATCTCCACTGCCAGCCCCCCACTACCGTCATCTCCGCCCCACATCCATCACTGCCACCAGCTCCACCTGCCTTTCCACCCGCATCGTCACAAACGTTACCAGCATGTCCACTCTCACCTCATCACCACCAATATCCTTCCCCCCAACCAAACTGCTGTCCCTGTCCCCAACCTGTCTCCAAACCAGCACCAGGACCACCTTGGTCACTATACTTGACCCCGACTCCATCACGCCAGCACCTCTACAGCTTTATCTCCATCTCACGGACAATGGCTCATATGATTCTGAGGACTTATTAATTTCTTCTGAGCAACCCGGTCCATCTGCATATTCCAATTTGGCTGCATATTCCAACGTGGGCTGTCCCCAGCTATCATCTCTAGGAACCTTGGCAAGCCAGCGGTTTTCATAGCCACTTCCCAAGGGTATTGGCTAGAGTCACTCTGTGGATAGTGACTAAAATTGTAGTCCTTGGCTTTATCCACACTCAGCTCACTCTGTCCCTGACCCCTACATTTGGCCTCAGAGCATGAGTGCAGTGATGGGCACAGGGGAGAGATGGGAGCAGTGTCCATGGTGACTTCACTGGCAGTAACAGCCATAAGGTACAGATGACCCTACAAGATGCAGAAGGAAGGGATTTGCATTTGCTGAGCACCTACTGTGTGCCAGGCGCTGATCTGGGACATTCTCTTCTCATTCGCCTGCCCCCCATCACTTATTAGTTATCCTTCCCATCTTACAGATGAAGAAACAGGTCATGGAAGGGCAGTCAATGCCTAGCGACGCTCTGCTGCTTCTCACCTCAGTGAACTTGAACTCTTCAAACAGAGAGGGTAGTGCAGTGGTTGAGGGAATGAATTCTGGATCCCAAACGACCTCTGTTCAGAGCGTGGTCTTATCATTGATTCTCTATGTGGCCTCAGGCAAGCCCCTTACTCTCTCAGCCTTGGTTTCTTAGCAGCCACCTGACAGTTGTGGGAATAACAAGATCATGTGTCTAATGTGCTTGGATCAGTGCCTGCTACTGAACTCTGGGGTCAAGTTCAGGGTCAGTCTCAGGCCAGGGCTCTGGAACAGGCTCAACTACCCTGCTAACTGTCTTGGTTTTCCCGACTCCCTGATCTTGGAACATCTGGAAAACGGTCAGAGGGTGATAGGAGCTTGGGGGAGAACCGCTGAGGGGTGGTGGTGGGTGGGCTTGGGTCAGACCCACAGGGATGAGGGCTCGCTTACTGAGGAAGCCCCTTCCTTTCCCAATGTCTCTGCCCCCAGGTCCCTCCAGACATGATGGGATGGCCATGGCTTTCCTGCCTCTTGCTTCCTGCCTTTGCAGTGTCTGGTGGGTGCTCTTCCTCTCCTACCAGAGCAGCACTAACCTGGGGACCCTTGGGGTTCCCTCCTCAGCAAATACCCAGCTTCATTGACCCAGCCCTGTGCTTGGCTGCCCTGGGAAGGTCTGGGGAGGAATACAGACCCATTGGGTGAGCTGGGCTGAAGTTTGATCAGTGGGCTGGTGTGAGCTCCCACAGGGGCAGGTGGGGGGGTCAGTCTTTACAGTGGTGTCCAGATGTTCCAGTGCTCTGTGCCCCTACAGTGGCAGCCAACGTGGCCCCAACGTTCCTGTCCAACATGACATCAGTGACCCTGCCTGAGGACCTACCAGTGGGTGAGTAACCGTCCTTGTGCTTAGACTGTGCCAAACCCTTGCCCACTAGAGTGTCCCAGAGGCTCCTATGTGGGCTTGCTCCCCATCCTGCAGCTCCAGGGAGTGCCATGGGGCAAAGGTGGCCTGAAGGGAGTTCGTTCCAGTAGTTTGAATCTTTTCAGCATTTGGGTCATGGGCCCTCACACAGCGTCAAATAATCCAGATTCACCCATGAGAATGGTCCTTCCATTTCCCATCTTTCAATCTTTCTGGTTTTCACAAGGAGAAAGTATCCATTTGGTCCCAATACTTCTCTTACACCTCTCACCCTGGCTAATCTCTCTCCACCCCTGCCTGTCCCCCCCAACCCCCGCCCCAGAAGTTAACACCTTTGCTTGGCTCTTACTGCCTTTGTTTGTAGAGTTACCTTCTGTCTACGGCAAATGAGGTGGGTTTTCTATTTATAATAGTGATCTCACACTTGCTTTTAAAATAAGTGTATACGATAAGTGTAGTAAGTTGACTAAAAGAAGAAAGAAGAGTCCTAAATAATGAGATGTGGATATGGTAAAGATCATGGCAGCGTACAGGAGTGAATGATGTTTGGGAAACATCATTTTGGATGAAGCCACAGGGACTGGGTACCAAATTCTCAGCAGGCAGGATATTAGCTGGGGAAGCAGAAATGGTAGATGACTATATTTATTGGGGTGTAGAGTCAGCTGTGCATAACAGACCCCCCTCACAGGTGTAAGCAAGGTCAGGGTTTATCATTTTCTCGCATACCTGTCCAGAGTAGTGAGTTCAGGGCTGTCAGAGGCTCTGTTCTCTTCCTCATGCTGTTCTGTGCTCTGTGCTTCTGGTGTCAGGCACTTCCCTCCTTCTGTCTTCAGGCTCTGCCTTCCTTAGGGTGTGGCACTCCTCCATGTGGACCAAGAGGGTCCACGCCACACCCCAAGGGGGCCCGTCCCTTTCTTTTAAGGACGGGCTCCAGATTTTACACACGCTACTTTTGCTCATGTCTGATTGGCCAGAAGTTAGCCACATGCCCATACCTTGCTGCAATGGTACCTGAGAAATGAGGTCTTTCTTCTACTCTGTCATGTGTCCTGGTCAAAATCCAGGGTTTTTGTTAGTCTGAGAGAAAGGTGGGTGTGAATGCTGGGGGACAGTTTGCAGTCAGCAGAGTCAGAATTGGGATCCCAGTTATCCAAAGCTACCAGATGAAGGAAGAGACTGCATTAAAGAAGGTGGAACCCAGACTCTGCCCTGGGATTCAGAAGCCGGGTCTGGGTACATGAGTAAGGGTGGGGGATGGGCTTTGTAGCCTGGGCATTCCCTGTCCTGTCTCCAGGTGCCGAAGCTTTCTGGTTGGTAGCTAAGGACCAGGACCAGGACCCTCTGACCTACGGAATTAGTGGCTCCAATGCCTACTTTTTCACTGTCATCTCGACCACTGGAGAAGTGAAGCTGGCCAGCCCACTGGACTATGAGGTAAAGGACAGTAGGCTGCGAAAGCCCCGCGACGGGGACAGGGAGACATGGAGAACCCTGGGAGCCAGCATCCGGGGGGGGGTGCCCCGTCTGTGCTCTCACCCTGAGTGGGGGCTTACCTTGCGCCCTTTCTCTCCTCCTACTGCAGACACTCTACTTCTTCCCAGTCACCATCTCCGTGAGCGACGGTCACAACAACCCAGTGAGTGGAGGTGGCATGTGGAGGGCAGGGTGGTCCAGCGATTAGGGGACTGGGGCCCACTCCTGACTTTGTCCCCTGCCTCAAACAAGCAGAAAGAGTCCCAGTTAACAAAAAAAGAATATTTATTTTAATCAAAATTATACTTGTCCACTTTAATTTGTTACACACCATTACCAAGATTTAAATATTTATTACTAATTCAGTTATATAAGCACATGGTTTATATTATAAATGTAACTGTATTATTAATATACATTTTAATAAAAAAAGAATGCCAAATATCTCCCTATTCTAGCTTCTCTGAGATGATCACTTTCAATTCTTTCGGCTGAATGTGTTGGCATTGATTCTCATTTTTCTAAGTAACACATTTACACCACTGTGCCTTGTGTGTGTGAAACTTGAGAGTTATGTCTTTATAACATATTCCCTAAGCCCCATCCATTTAAGATAGTCTTTTCAATGACTTGGATATTCAGGAATACATTCTCTCTGTAAACATCCCAAAAATTACAGGTAAAGGTCAAGTCCCTTTGGGCAACCCTCCCAGCCCCCTCCCACTTGAAGCCAGGTCTGGGTACATGAAGAAGGATGGGGAATAGGCTTTGTGGCCCGGGCCTTCCACTGTCACTGTGTTCTTTCATTCCCTTTCGATAAATGTTCGCGTACACATATGCATCTACAAAAGAAAGAGCACAGTTTTTTGCACATTTTTTGAAACCCATATGGGGTTCTATTGTACATACGGTCTTGAACTGCCTCGTCCATTTTACTACCTGCCTTGAACCTCTTTCTGTGTCTGTGCTTCACTGTCCCAGCCTGGAGACAGACCATGGTGCTTAGCTGGTCTGCTTTGATGGATACTTAGCTTGTCCACAGCTTTACACCATGGCAAACAAAGCTAAAATGAATATTCTTGCGATAAGAAAGGCACATTTTAGATTTTTAAAAAGTGACCTAATGAGGTCTGCAGCTGACACTCAAATGGTTCAGTAAACATGGAAAGAGAGAGAAACCAAACAATGAGCAAATCTGGATGAAGGGTATGGGGAGTTCTTTGTACTATACTTGCAACTTTTCTGCAATTGTATCAGATAACAGGTTACCCCAAACATTGCCTAATTGTCCACCTGAGAAACTATGCCAATTTGCTCCTTGGCTCAGATGTTCCTCACTTTGTTTCAGGAGCCGACATTTTCTAGGCTTACCTGTGCTTTCTTCCTGCAGGTGCAGAAGGAAATGCAGGTGATCGTGGAGGACAGAAATGACAATGCACCTGTTTTCCAAAACACCGGTTTCTCTACTAATATTAGCGAGGTAACATCTGTCTTAATGCGATGTGCGTCGGGGGGAGGCAGGCATCCTAGGAGCTCTTCTCAAGAGTAGGAAGGACCCAAGAGAGCCAGCAGGGGATCCGGGACCGGGAAAAGCACCTGCTAGAAGGGGTGTCTGCTGGAACCAGATTCAGGGGGATGTAACCCCATGAACCATAGGCACAGCAACATTTGACCATCAATCAGACTGCACTGGAATTCTTTCAGCTCTGAAAGAAAATAAAATAGGATTGATTTTCTCACGTATCTGAAAAATTTAGAGGTATATCTAGATTCAGGCATGGCTGGATCCAGGTACTCAAACCATGTCATCAAGAAGAGATTTCTCTCCACCTCTCTGCTTCTCTTGTTGCCTCCATTCTGGGATAGGGGGGCACGTCTCCCTTACAGTGATAAAAGTGTCTTCAGCAGCTCCAGGTTCACATCCCACCATTGTGCAGCTTCAACACAGACTGTCTCAGCCAAAAGCTTAGGGCTGACCCAGTGGCCCATTTTGGGTCATGCGCTCATCAGTCTGGAGGGATGGAATGCTCTGATTGGCTAGGTCTGTATTATGGGCCCACCTTGAACTACATGGGTCGGGAGAGGCACCCCAGTGGTCCCTGAGCATCAAACAGTGCCCGCTCCCAAATCTTCATTACTACGTGGCTTCGAAGACCCATGAGTTAGGGCCCCAGGTGAGGCCAAGCAGCCATTTGCCAGGCTCTGATGGAGCACCTACTATGGTCCAGGTGCTATCCTTGGTGCTGAGGATATCTGGTGAACAAGACAGACCTGGTGGGCACCCTCAGTAGCTCACATTCTAGTGAAGAGCACAGACACTAATCAAGGAAGCACTAAATAAGCAGGATTATTTTAGACAGTGTTGAACTCCATGAAACTCATAAAAAGGGAAAAGTGAGAGAAGGTGACTGAGGAGGGGACTGCTTTAGGTTGAATGGTTAGCAGAGGCTTCTCTGAGTGACACCTGAGCAGAGACCTACATGGCAAGAGGAAGCCGGCAATAGAATGCTCCAGGAAAAGGATGCTCTAGACCGGGGAACAACAGATGCGAAGGCTCTGAGGTGGGGATGAGCACTGAGTGTTCTAGGTACAGTCAGGAAACCAGCGAGGATAAAGGGTGGAGAGCAAGGAAGTGAGGTCAGAGAGGTGGGCAGTGGCCTGCCCGTGGAGGGTTATGGAAAATGCATAGACTGAATTCTAGGCAAAATAAGGGACCCATTGGAGGGTTTTTAGCACAAGAGCGATTCATGATTTTCAAAGATCTCTTTGGCCTCCATGGAAAGAGGGAAGTGTGGACAGGCATTGCAGGGCCAGGTCCCAGGAGACAAAGGCCTTCCAAAAGAACCTTCCAGCTCTGCAGGGTGCTGTCTGTAAGCTACAGAGAGCTCACAAAGATGTCTGATCAGGAAAGTGACAGATCCTTGGTTCTAGAATGATCATTCTGCAAATCAGAAGCCAGCTCAAGTGGTGGGGAGGCTGCATGGGGAGAGGAGGAATGGGGGGAACTCTGTTCTATGCCCTTCTCCCCCCCACCACGCCCGGCCGCCTCCAGAGACCCAACCAATGTGTGAAAGAAAAGGAAACATTTGTGAGACACTGGGTTTCAGGCCCTGGAAGGTGCTGTCATATCCCTGTGGGACAGCTGGGGACACTGAAGCTCAGGGCCGGGGACATGACTTACTCGGGCGTGAAGGAGATGGAAAGCTCATAGGTGAAGAGTCCCTCGTTACAGACCCTGCCCATTGGCTCCCTGGTGTTCTCTGTGCTGGCGGTCGACAAAGACACCGGGTCTGCGGGCGCCGTGGTGTACTACATAGAAAGGGTGAGTGCCAAGTGTGGGCCCCACTGCTCCTCACGGCCACCAGGGGGCAGCATCTCCCACACAACCTGCAGGGGCCTGGAGGGCTCGGCAGGACCGCAGCTATGCAGTGGTCCAGCCCTGGTCCTTAAGCCTTCTATTGGACCCACTCTGGACAGAAGGAGGATACCTGCTGCAGACAGCACCCTTCTTCCCACCCTCTTGCCCAGGGGCACTGTCTGAGCCTTTCTCGAGTCTGTGTCATACCATCCAGTAGTAGAAACTAAGACTTGGAAATGGAGGCTCAGAGAGGTTAAGTGACCTGGTGAAGGTCACAGGGCTGCCCAGTGGTAGGTCTCTCAGAGCAAGCATTGGGGCAGGGCCATGGGGGAGCCAGGCCTGACTGTGCGCTGCCTCAGGTCATCCCTAGCACCTCGGACAGCCAGTACCTCTTCAAGATCCTGCTCAATGGTTCCATCATCCTCAACGGCAGCCTCAGCTACAACAACAAGAGTGCCTTCTACCAGCTGGAGCTGAAGGCCTGTGTGAGTGGGGTGCAGGCCCAGGCGCAGGTGGGAGGGCACCGGGACTGCGGTCCAGCTCACGAGGCCCATCTCCCCTCAGGACTCGGGCGGTTGGTACCAAAACAGCTTCATCACGCAGTGCTCTTCACCTGTCTTCCTGTCTATCTCGGTGATCGACCAGCCAGACCTGGACCCCGAGTTTGTCAGAGAGTTTTACTCGGCCTCTGTGGCTGAGGATGCACCCCAGGTGTGCTGGGGACCCGAGGGGAGATCCTGAGTGGAGACAAAAGGCAGAGAAAGGGTCTGTAAGACCATGCCTCCTTACAGGGAACCTCAGTGCTGAAGGTGGAGGCCGTGGATAGAGACAAAGGCATCAATGACCGCGTGACCTACAGCATCTCCAGTGAGAACGAGGGTGGCCTCAGCCTGGGGCTGGGGTAAGGGAAGGGGTAGGGGCTCTGTCAGAGCTACTGAAAGCAGCTATACCTGCTGCCTCTTGCCAGACTCCACAAGACCTGGCTGGTTTGACATTAGCCAAGATGGGGTGATCAGAGTCAGTGGTTCCTTGGACCGTGAGCAGCTGCTGGAGGAGGATGAGGAGGTGCAGGTGCAGGTCACGGTACGTGAGGGATCCACCACCTCCTTGCCCCCCACCCCCACTTTATAACCTCTGACCTTTGATCTCAACTCTCTCTGAGTGCTAGTTCTCTGACCTCTGACCTCTGGCCCCTGCTCTGTTCTCAGGCCACCGAAGAGCACCTTAACATCTATGGGCAGGAGGCCAAGGTGAGCATATGGGTCACGCTGAGGGTGACCGATGTCAATGACCACAAACCTGAGTTTTTCAACTGTAGCCTCCTGGCCTGCACCTTCACCCCTCAAGAGGCCCAAGTCAACTTCTCCGGCTCCGTGGACGAACATGCCTCCACGCGCATCCCCATCGACGACCTCACCATGGTGGTCTATGACCCAGACAAGGCAGGCGTACCCAGATGAGGGGTGGGGGTGCGGGGGGGGAGATGGTGGCAGACGGCCAGCGGAGGGAGGTGCAGACTGACCCGTAGAGTAAGGTGCCGTGGTGTGTGGTGAGGGGTGAGTGGTGGGTGATCATGAGTGGTGGCGAAAATCAGAGCTGTTGGGTGATACTTGGAAATGGTGGGAGGTGCTGTGCTGGTGGGTAGTCTCGTGCTCAGGGCAGTGCTCGGTGGTGGCGAACAGAGAGGCAGTTGAGTGGAGGTTGGTACTGCATGCTGGGTAACGTTAAGTTTTTGGTGGTGTTTGAGGAGAGGGTGGTGCTGGGGGTTGGTGAAGTTGGGGTCAGTTGGTGTGTTGGGGTCGGTACTGGCTAGTGGTAGATGAGGGCCATGCTGAGCCCAGAGCAGTCTGAGTGACTGTGAAGTTGGAGGGTATTCTTAAGTGGAGGGTATTGAGTGATGGGCAACTTGGATGGTACTGAATGAGGAACAGCTGTAGAAGGTGCTCGTTTGGTATGAAATGTGGAGTGGAGGGTAGGATTGGGTGGTGGTAGTGGGTGGGCATGTTGAGTTGGTGGCTGGCAGTGAGTGGAGTGGTGGGGTGAGGAGTGGAGAGAGGTGTGGGTAATGGAGTGATGCTAGGTGTTGGTGTGGGTGTTGATGTGGGTGGCGGAGGGTGGTGAGGAGTGTCCCGTAAGGAAGTCTTATTGTGATGCTTCGTGGGAGTGGGTTGTGTGTGTGTCTAGGCTCTATCTCTGCAGCCCAACCCTGGGGCCCACAGAGCCCACATTTGTAGGGACTAATGACCAGCCCGTCCTCTCAGGGCCCCGGGCCTCAGTCTTCTGAGCGCCCATCTTATGGGACCTTGGCAGGCAGGGTTTTCTAAAGCAGGAGGCTATGGCCAGGTCTTGGGGAAAAGGTGCGGGTGGGTGCGTTGCAGGGCGTGAGGTCCTTACCATATGGCCCACTCTACAGGGCAGCAATGGTACCTTCCTGCTATCCCTGGAGGGCGCCGATGCCGAAGCCTTCAGCGTGTCCCCTGAGCGGGCAGCGGGCTCGGCTGAGGTTCAGGTGCTGGTGAAGGTCCCGTCACTGGTGGACTATGAGAAGAAGACGGTGATGCTAGTGCAGGTGAGGGGTGCTCTGGGGCACTAGGGAGCTGAGGCCATGGGTGCTCTGGTCTAAATGCTTCTTCCTATCCCCCATCCTCAGGTCGTGGCCACTGACTTGGTCAGCGGGAACTCCTCCGTTGCCTTGGTGACCATCTACCTTAGAGACATTAACGACCATAGGCCCACATTCCCTCACAGCCTGTACAACCTCAGTGTCCCTGAGCACAGTGCAAATGGCTTTGTGGTCACCGACAGCATTCACGTGAGTGTTGAGGGACAGGGTCAAGACGAGTACATGAGGGACAGAGTCAAGATGGGCTGGAGATACACAGAAAAGCGCAGACCGGGGATTTAGCCCTGCCCGAGTCTCCATATCATCTGATGCCTTCAGGTCCCAGGAAGCGTGCATCATGTGTGAGTGTGTATGGGGGTTGTGTGGGGATGCCTATGTGTGAATCTGTGTCAGGGTTCTCCCTGTGTATCCGGAAGCAGGATAGCTTTGTCCCCCAGTCATGCAATTGGCAGTGGGCGCCATCATTTGCAAACAGAGTATGCCATTGTCTATGTCTCTACCTCACAGGCCTTTGACCCAGACACGGGCGAGGGGGGCCGCATCACCTACAGCCTGCTTCCAGGAAACGGGTGAGGTTTCAGAGTGGGTGGGTGGGAGTGAGCGGGTGGTGGGGCTAGGGTAGATGGATAAAATATAGAGCACCACTTACATCGTAATTTCAGATAAACGATGAATAATCTTTTTTTGTATAAGTAGGTTGTGAATGTTCCATGGTAAAATAAGTTTCATTGTTTAGTTGAAATTCAAAATTAAGTGAGTATGCTGTCTTTTTATTCACTCAATTTGGCCACCCAAAACAGGGCAGACATCTTCGAGGTGGATCCTGACTCAGGGACAGTGACAGTGAGAGACAGCGAGCTGCTGGACAGGGAGAAGCAGGGGGTGTACAATGTCACACTGCAGGCCACAGATGGCGGGGGCCTGTCATCCTCCACCACGCTGCAGATCTACCTGCTGGACATCAATGACAACACGCCAGTGGTCATCGGCTCCTACATCATCTTTGTTCAAGAAGAGACGGGCAATGTCTCCGTGACCATCCAGGTGCGAGACAGCCTGGACCCGGTGGGTGGGAAGGGGCAGGACACTGAGCCTGGCTCTGTAGTTGTTCTGGCCCTGGGTTGGAATCTGGGCTTTGCTGTGTGGCCCTGAGAAAGTCAGTCAGTCTCTCTGGGCCTCGTTTCCTCTTTGGAAAATGAGGGCAATTGTAGTACTTATTCCCAAGGTCATTGGCGAATAATGATGAGATGGATACTGGATGTAAAGTGCTCGACATAAAGCCTAGCCAAGAGCAAGCCCACAAAAATGTATTGCTCTTTTTAATTCAGGCCTCTGCTTCATTCTGAAAAGGATTAGAAGTGGCTTAGTTGAAAAAATAAGATAAACAATGGAAGGAATAAAGAGAGAAAATAAGGATGGCATTGTTAAAGGACACAAAGGTAGACCTAGAACTCAGAGCCACATGATTACTAGGAATAGGCTGAAAATTTAGTTCTGAGCTTCCTAATGGCCAAAGTAAAAAAGGAAATGAGATCAATGGCTGGGGTCACAGAGTCTATGAGGTTAAAACCCACTATTGGCTCCAAAGGAGACTTCTCTGAATCATCTGAAAGGGAGTCTTGTGAGAAGCAGGAAGCCAGGTCATCAGAATAACATACATGTGGCCACGGAGCCCACCCATCTTTCTGGGGCTGTGTGCTTTCTAGAGCACGTTCTCATCCCTGATCTTCTGACAGGCTTTGTGAAGTAGATGCTCTAATGGTCCCCATTTCACAGAAGGAGAAAACAGGCCAAAGAGGTTAAGTGACTATTCTGTGGTTGTACAGCCAGTGAAGGCAGCACTGGGTTGGGGGTCAGACTTCCCTGCCCTGAGACCTGGGCATTTCCCCACTGCTCTGTGATGCTTCTCACCCTGGTGTGTGAGCTCCTTGGGCGGGAGTACGTCAGATCTGCTGCTGTAACCACAGTGCCCAGCATGAACCCTGAGAAATGCTTGGTGAAGTAGCTGGCCTGAGTTCAGAGTGCTGAGGGATGAACAGATGGGGTCAGGCTTTTGGAAAAACCATTTCTGGCTGCCTACTCAGGAGGCATTTAATAAACAACATTCTAGCAGAACTGAAATGAAAGAGCTGAGGGTGGGGGTGGTCAGGGACAAAGGGGAAAGAATTGATTCCAAGTCAGAGTAGCCCAGCTCTGGATTCAAAGCCACGTTTGCTGAGCACCTACTAGGCACCAGTTCCTTTGCTGGGCCCTGAGATGCATCCACCATAATCTTGTCCCCAGGTGACTCTCAGGGGAGAACACTGGACAGTCACCCAGGGGTGTCACCTGTGCTCTGTTGAAGGTAGCACAGGGATAATGGAGGCCCGAGGGAGGTACCAACCTGGCCTGGAGTCAGGTAGAGAAGGTATAAAAGGCGTTCAGGGTGAGGGCGTGGGCAAAGGCCCAGTGGCGTGAACGAATCTATTGTATCCTCTGTGCTGAATCACTCCAAAGACGAACCAAGCGTGCATTCAGGACACTGGCAGGACACCACACGCACACACACACACACACACACACACACACATGGGTAAAGATTCAGCTGTTTAAAAACTATAGCACCGAAGTAGTCATCATGGGAAAATCAGAATCATGTCAGACTTCCACTCATTTTATGTTCATTTGTTTGTTTAAATTTTAACTCCATCATATACTGCCCCCATGCACCCCTCCCCACTAGAATATCAGCTCCATAAGGGGACTGTCTTGATCCTGGCTTGATTCCCAGTGCCTAGAACAGGGCTGGGCACATGGTAGGTACACAGGAAACATTTGTTGGGTGAACGAATGATCTCGGTGCTTAAGATCTCAGAAGCTCTTGCAAGCTGTTAATCTGACCCTCTTAGTTGGAAGGCTGAGGCTGAGAGATTGGTTAGCAACCACTGGCTTCAGGCCCAGTCACTGCCCTCGTGCGCCAGCACTGGAAGGGGAGGCCAGACTGCAGGGGGTGGCTGGGAGGCTGGGGGACTGGCGAGCACCTGATGGCTGCTGCCCTATTCCGCTTGTCTGCACAGGCTCATGACGACGACCAGCCAGGCACCAACAACAGCCGTCTGTACTTTAGCTTGCTGCCCAGTCCCTACAGCCACAACTTCTCGGTGGACCCTGACACAGGGCTCCTCAGAAACCTGGGACCCCTGGACAGAGAGGCCATTGACCCTGCCCTGGGGGGTCAAATTGTGCTGACGGTGCGTGTGTCCGACTGTGGCGTGCCTGTCCTCAGCACTGAGGTCAACGTCACCATCACTGTGGAGGTAAGGCTTGGCTCAGCTGGGGGCGGGGGGTTAGGATAGGCTTCCAAGCAGATGGCCAGCTCCCTACCTCCCCTCAACTTAAGTGGCATTTTGTGAGTGCGTCGGTCCTTTTACATCCCTGAACTAGTCCTTGCCATGGTCTTGTGAGCAGGAACTACTACCCCATTTTTCAGTTGAAGACATTGAGGCCCAGAGAGGTCAAAGTCACAGATGAGGCAGAGGCAGGGCCGGATTTGACTCGGAGCTGTGCTCTTAGCCACTCCTGCAACTTAGGAAAGTCTTAAGAATGCAGCTGACCATGTGCATGGAGCCAGTCACACCATTTCTGGGAAATCACCCTTAGAAAACATGTCTGGTTAAGGAGAGGAGGGCTTTATTTTCAAAGATGTCTGTTCCCCCATTATTTGGAAAAAACTGAAAGCAAAAGCAGATGCCTGTGGACTCCCTGGGGGAGGAGGGCTGGAACAGTCAAGGGCACCCCTTCACATACCAGTGTTAGGGGTGAAAGCAGTAGGTGGAGTCGGCTCCATGCTTTGACAATAGTGGCAGCGCTTTGTCTGTGCAGGGTGGCCAGGCTGGAGAGGGAAGATGAGAACAGAAAACAGTGGGCATCTGAGGGCAGGACCACATCTCAGCCCTGGCAATACCTGACTGAGCACAGAGCGAGTATTGAGTGTTGTGGGATTGGCTCAAGGCAGGAGGGACAGAAGGAAAGAGGGGATGAGGGAAAGCTTCAGCCCCAGGGCCTGTGCAGAAACACAGTGGGATTGGTGCCAGTACAGTAAATCTGAGAGATGGGAGTTGAGCTGGGCCAGACGGGGCCACTGGTGAGAACTCGGAGCCATCCTTCCAGAAAACAGGGTCTAAGATGGCCCTGAGCCATGGTCAGAGAAGAAGAGAGGAGGTGGGTCTCCTTGAAAACTTCACAGGTCCCACCACGGGTCTCCGAGCCCCAGGTGTGAGACCTGGGCCGGTTCCTTCTTCGCAAAGGCTGCTTCATCATCTGTGCAGTGGGTAATGCCGCCTTGGGGGACCAGAGTCTATGCCTCCGGCCAGAGGAGTGGGTTTCTCTGACTGGCTCTGGGGAGGCTGAGCGCTGGGGGCTCCTGAAGTCCCCGAACTCAGAGCTCCCCCTGCCTACAGGACATCAATGACAATCTGCCTGTCTTCACCCAGTTGAGTTACACCTTCCCGGTGAGGGAGAGGGACCCAGGTAAGTCTTCCCTGGGCCAGGGAGGGCCTGAAACGCCCAAGGGAGGTGATCACAGGGGGTGCCTCCAGTGGCCTTGCCAGGGGTCTCTCCAAACTCTGCCCCTCATCCACAGGAGTGCTGGTGGGCGTGGTGAAGGCCTGGGATGCGGATCAGACGGAAGCCAACAACCGTATCAGCTTCAGCCTGTTAGGGGGCGGTGCCAACTTCATGCTCCGGGGCTATGTGCTGGGGTCTGGGTGGGCTGAGGGCCGCCTCTGGCTGCCCTCAGATGTGAGCCTGGACTATGAGACCCAGCCCTCCTTCAATCTGACAGTGATTGCGGAGAACCCAGACCCCCAGGGAGCTGAGGCCACCGCAGGAATCTTTGTGCCTGTGGAGGACGTGAATGATGAACCACCCACCCTGGACGCGTCCTCGCTCCAGGGCATTCATGTGGCTGAGAATGGCTCGCAGCACGGCCTGGTGGCTGAGGTGGTTGCCCAGGACGTGGATACACAGGCCCAGCTGGAGGTGCAGCTTGTAAACGTCATCTGTACCAAGGCCGGGGTCAACGTGGGCAGCCTGTGCCATGGCTGGTTCTCTGTGCTGGCCAACGGCTCTGTGCTCATCAATCAGAGTGAGGCCATCGACTATGAGATCTGTGACCTAGTCACGCTGGTTGTGCGGGCCTATGACCTCACAACGGATCCCCGCTTCCAGGCCTACAGTGACAACGGTGAGGTGGCCTGGCCTGCAGGGCTCGGCAGGCTGTAGCACAGGGGTTGTAGGGGGCAGCCCTGGGCTGGAACCTGCAAAGTCTGGGTTCAGATGCTGGCTCTAGCCCTTGACAGCTGTATCACCGGGAAAGTCAGGTTGCCTCCCCAAGCCTCAGTTTTTCCATCTGTCAGGTGAGGTTGGCTGTGCAGATCAAATGAGAACATGTCTGTAAAGTGTTTAGTGCAGAGCTTGGCACATAGGAAGCACTTAATGAATATTATTATTTTGTGAGGTTGTGTAAACGAAAGAGCACACTTCAGAGTCAGACGTGTGCTCGTGTCCCACCTTTGACACCAAGTAGCAATAATAATCCTATTAATGGCATATACTGAGTCCTTACTATAGCCAAGAGCTATGCCAGTCACTTTGTAAGCATGTCTTAATTTTATTCCCACACGACCCATGAGGTAGGAGATCCCTATTCAATTTTATAAATGAGGAAATTGAGGCACAAAGTGCTTGTAAGCATGTCTTAATTTTATTCCCACAAGACCCATGAGGTAGGAGATCAATTTTATAAATGAGGAAATTGAGGCACAAAGTGGGCAGTTCAATAACCTAACTTACACAGCTAGATAATGTTATGGCTGGGCTGGGCTCCATCCTGGCCCATTGGCCTAGCCGTGTGACCTTGAATAAGTTTCTTACTCTCTCTGAAGTCCGGGAAGAAAACTCCCTTCCACAAAGGCCAGATGTCAGGAGCTGGGAAGGGAACTGAACATGGGTGATGCCTGGGAGGGAGGCTTCTGGAAGCATGGCTGAGGCCCATGCTTTCTGGGTGAGGCCTTTGCCTAGAGACCAGAGCCAGCAAACCTTGTCCCCTAGGAAGCCTCCCCATTGCCATCGAGGACGTGAATGACAATGCACCCTATTTTCTGCCTGACAATAAGACTTTTGGTAAGCAGCAACCCTCTCCCTCCCCACTCGCACTGTGCTCTGCCAGGACTGCCTTTGGTTAACTCCCTTAGACCCTTCTCAAGCCCCAGGGAGCCCTTGGAAAGGGAGGAGGCCTCCTATCCTGCTTTCCCACAAGGTTCCAACAGGAGGGGAGACCTGAGTGTTCACCTCAGTGCTGCCCCGACTCATCTCTAACCCTGGGCCAGGCTTTCCCTCTCTGGGCCTCAGTTTCCCCATCTGCACCATGGGAAGTGGATGACCTGATAACTAATGGTTCGGGGGTAGTTGTCATGAGGGTCTCTGGTTGTAGAGAGCTTGAGGGCAGGTTTGGGGGGATGCGCTGCACTCGTGGTCAGCATGTGGGCACTGGTCCTGACCCCACTGACCCCTTCCTGTCCATACTTGTAGTGATCATCCCGGAAATTGTGATGCCCAGCCATCAGGTTGCTTCCGTCCGGGTAAGTCCTTGGCTCCAGCCTTTGTGTCACCTTAGCTCCAGGAGACACAGGGCTAAGACCTTCAGACCTTTGAGCCGCCCCCAAAATGTCTTAACACTGGAAAGGAAATTTATTGGCTCCAACATATGAAAAGAAAACCCCAGAATGGAAATGAACATGCCTGCCTAATTGATATGATTAAACTTCATTAATTGTTAAATTTAGTATTCATAAAAATTTCATGACCATAAAAACCACTTGCAGGCTAGATTTGTCTCACCACACCAGAATTCCTGAGTATTACAGCGAAATCATAGTAACTGTAAATTAAATGAGTTCCTTGTAGTTAAATAATTTCCAGAGAAACATCATAACAGGATTTTCAGTTTTTTATGGTGTTGGATGCAGGTATATTTATTAGAGGATGGTAGTTATGCCATGCGATGGGTGTGGCGTTCCACACAGCCTGGGGCCTTGGCCAGCCGGGCCTCTTTGTGGCCTGGGGAGCCGCCACGCCTTTCTGGAACTCAGTTTCTCTCAAGGACAAGAAGCTGGCAGTCACCTCTTAGAGCTGAGAGGCGGTGGCGTCTGGTTCCACTGCCTGCGCGGTGGAAAGGGCTCAGGTGTAGGAGATGTGCAGCCTGGCCTGCCTCCCTGCTTAGAGCTGAGTCTTCGGTAGGATACGGTCTCTCTCGGAGGCTCAGTTTCCTTCCAGAAACTGGGGTAGTAATTCTCCCTTTCTAGATTCTTGCAAGCCTCTTAAACAGTTTTTCAGTCTTCAGCCAATTGCCTTCCAATGTCATGAGTCTGGCCATGGCTTTGAAAAATTTTCTTGAAATCAACTCTTTTTGAAACTTAAACACCAGCTTTGGCCTTGTCCTGGACAGTGACATCAGTGGATTTGTGGCTCTGCATGTTGGCTATATTTTTTCTAGAAGGCACTAGAATGAATAAAAATGTTTGCAGCCTCACTCCCTCCCGTCCCCACCCCCCCGCCCTGCCGCTCCCAGCCATTTCATGATCCGCTAGGGGAATGAATTCATGCTCACATCAGTAAGCACTGAAATGAAGGCTGCAAGAGAAGGTGCCTGGCACACAGTAGGTACTCAGGAAGCCTGAGCATCCCGTGCTTGTGCGTGTGTGTGGCAGCAGGTTGGGGGAGCAGGGCAGGATTTCCATGTGAAAGGGACTTTGGGTGGTTGCCTGCTCAGTTGGGAGGCCAGAGCCAGGGAGTTGCCCAAACCTGAATTTCTTTAAAGCATTTTCTCAGTTGAGGTGGCATGGAAGGCTGATAGAGATTATGGGGACCAGCCGCCCAGGCCACCCTAGCCTCTGTTTCCTGCTGGGGGCGTTGGGGTACCTGGCCTGGTCCACAGAGGTTGTCTACTCTTGCTCCCAGGCCAGAGACGATGACTCAGGGAACAATGGGGCCATCCTGTTCTCCATCCTCCAAGCGGATTTCGTCACTAAGGATGGGGCCGTGATCGCTTTCAATGGCTTCTTCCGAATCTCCACCTCCTCAGAGGCCAACGTGTTCATTGGCACCATTGAGTAACTGCGGGCAGCCCCTGGATGGGGGTGGGGTGCAATGGGGGGCCCTCAAGGCAGTGAGTTCCTCACCCTTGGAGGTATATAAGTAGGTTTCAGAGAACTCCAGCTTGAGTTCCAAGACTGTGCTGTGCCCTCTTACCTTACATAGGCTGGTGACCAGCCTTGATTCAACTCTCCAAGGCACCTACCAAGTGACAGTTCAGGCCCAGGACAGACCTTCCGTAGGTCTTGCCCAGGAAGCCAATATCACCCTGAATGTGAGTGTTGGGCCCTGCCTCCAGCCCCCAGTGCCCTTGGCCAGCCGCTGGGTCCCTTGTGCCTCATTGCTCCCCATGCCCTCCTCCCACAGCTCTTCACTGTGGACCAGAGTTACCGTGTGAGGCTGCAGTTCTCCACGAACAAGGAAGAAGTGGGCGCCAACATGGAGGAGATTAAGGCGTAGGTCTGGGGCACCTGCAAGGAGACTTTGGGGGAAGAACAGGGCCTGGGAGCCTGGTCCCTGATAAGACCTCGATAGAATGTCTCTCAGCTCTGTCCCAGACTCACACTATATCTTGTCCCTGTCTTTAACCTTATGACTGCACTTCCTTTCTGCATGTCCCCAGAAGCCTATGGTTGGCTGGGCAGGGAGAGGTCTAAATAGGGCTGCCATGTACAGTCGTTAAGGCTCTGCACTGCACAAGGGCTCTCTGCTTGCTGGGGCTTCCTTGTCTCTTTGTCCAGGGGTGCTATGTGCTTAGCCAGGGGAGCCATCTGGGGGAATTGCTCCTTTCTAATTTATACAATCCTAATTCCACTGACAGAGCCCCAGCCACAGGCCTAGGTTAGGGCCCCTCCCCCAGGCTTCTGTGACACATGCGCCCTTTGTAGGGCTCTCGCCCAGGCGACCAGGACTACTCTCTACGTTGTGGACATTAAGGACATAGAATCCACAGCTCGGTGAGTGCCCGCGGGCCCAGTGGTTGGGATGAGGAAGAGAAGCTGCAGCTGGAGGGTCCTGCTGGGTGTGGGTGATCCTGGGCTGCTGACTCTTCACTCCCACCCCATTCCAGGGCCCGAAGCCGTTCCTACCTTGACGGCTACTTAGTCTTCCCAAATGGGTCAGCCCTGACACTTGATGAGCTGAGCGTGTGAGTGGGGTTGCCCTTGGGGTGGGCAGGAGGGTGACTAGGAAGTCTGTGGGATGCTAATGTCCCTCGGGCCTGAGCGGGGCTCTGTGGACAGGATGATCCGGAGTGACCAGGACGCACTGATGCAGCTGCTGCAGCTGGGGCTGGTGGTGGTGGTGAGTGTCCGCAGGGTGGAAGTAATGGGAGAGTGGGGCAGGGGATGTTGACCCCAGAGCCTCCCTCACACGCCTTCTCTTCCAGGGCTCCCAGGAGAGCCCGGAGTCAGACCTGCCAAAGCTGCTCAGTAGCGTCATCATCGGATTGGGAGTGGCTTTGCTGCTGGTCATTGTGATCATGACCATGGCCCTTGTGTGTACCCAGAAGAGGTGCTGCTCCCATTACCCTATGTCTCCAGCCCAACCTCTCCCAACCCCCAAGACATCGGAGGGCGGGTTGGGGTTGAAAGAACTTGGGCTTAGATGTCAGGTATGTCTGTATTCAGTCCCCACTAATCTGTTGTGACATCTTGGGCCCGAGCCTCAGTTTCCTCATCTGCAGAATGAGTATGACACTAGCTTCCTCAAAGCCCTCAAGGAAGCATTGTGTATCTCACACCCAATAAGACGTCTGGCATATACTATGCATTTAATAAATGCTGCTTTGTTTTCTCTTTCCAATACATTTGCAGTTCAGCAGCCACATCTGGGTTTGATTCTAGGCCTTACCACTAGCCAACTGTGTGGCCTTTGGTGAATCCTTTCCCTTCTCTGGCTCTTACTTGTACCCTCTGCAAAGTGGAGCCAACTCTCTCACCTGCCAGGGTCATCGTGAAGTCACACTCCCAGGGCCTGTACTGGGCACACAGTGGGTGTGCAGGGAAAGTAGTGATCCCTTTCCTGGTTCCCCACAGATACCACCGGAAGCTTCGGGCTGTAAAGGCTGCCAACGAGGCCCGGAGAACAGTGGCGGGGGTGATGCCCTCAGCCTCTGCCATCCCTGGGACTAACATGTACACCGCTGAGAGGTGAGCAAGGCCTGAAGGCTGGGTAAGAGGCTCCATGGGGCAGCTGAGGTCCATGGCCGCTTGACTAAGCCTTCTCTCCAGGGCCAATCCCATGCTGAACCTCTCTACCAAGGACCTGGGTTTTGAGTCCCAATCCTCCTCCAGCGACCTGGACTGTATCAGGTGAGCAATGCCCCTCACAGACAGGCTGTTTGGTGGTGGTGATGGTGATGATGATGGTGGTGATGGTGGTGGTGATAGAAGTGATAGTAATGATGGTGGTTGTGGACATGGTGATGATGGTAGTGATGGTGGTGGTGATGGTGATGGTGGTGGTGGTGACAGAGGTTTTGGTGATGGTGGTGGTGATGGAGGTGGTGGCGGCGATGGAGGTGGTAGTGGTGATGGTGCTGGTTGTGATGCTGATGGTGGTGGTGGTGGTGGTGTGGTGGTGAAGGAGGTAGAGGCAGTGGTGGTTCTTGACCACAGACAGGAAGGACTGGGCCTGCCAACTATCTGAACTCTATCATCTCCCCTACAGCCGCAACTCCCTGGATGACAACTCTGTGGACCTGGAAAAGGACAAACAGGAAATCAAGGCAAGATGGGGGATGAGTTGTTGTTTGGGGATTCTGAATTGGGGTCTTTTTCTGAAGGGGTGGGGTTCAGGACAGAGCAGAAGGACCTGCTGCTGACTTCGGCCCTTGGACACCCTATGGCTCTGTAATGGGGTCCAATCCTTGCTCCTCTACTGTTCATTGTGACACCGGGTGCTGGTGACTTCTCCCTCTGGTTCTGTTTTCTCACCTGTAAATGGGGATCGGAACGCCAAACACCCAGGGCTGTTGTGAGGATGAAATAAGAGTGGGCATAAAAACCACCTGGCACAAAGCATGTGCTAAAAAATCTGGTTCCCTACCTTCACATCCTTTATATAAAAGCTGGAGGGGTGGGGGAAGAGATCTGGAGATGAATATAACCTAGTGAAGGAGAGAAAGTAGGCTCAGATAAACAATAGTACCATCATTTGTTCAATAGGTTAGTTGGTTCAATTAAATCAAGAGTTCACACAGCCTGGGCTGCTGACTGGAATCGTGTGGGGAGCTCTTCAGAAGCACGGGGTCACAGCCCAGGCATTCTGACCTGATGGCTGAGGTGGGCCTGGCATGAACCTGTTGTTAAAGCTCCAGGGATTCTCACCTGCAGGCAGGATTGAGAAGCACCAGAGCAGATCATGGGTAGGGTGGGGCATGGCTCTACTCCCTAGAGGGGTGGGCCGCCAAATCCAGAAGGAACTACTATCTCTCCTTCTCACTTTGAAAACCACCACTGGAGTAGAAGCACTAAGGCCCATTGAGCTTTATTTACTAGTCTGCAGTTCTGTGTGCCTGTGGGTGGGGGTGGGGGAGTGCGAGTAGGTATCCACCAACCATTCACCTTATCCACTCCCCTCTGGGTGCTGCCTTCAGCCAGGCCTTGCTCTCTGGGGGTCCGCATCCTTCCTTCATGCTTCAATACTTACTTTTTCCCTTGAGGATGCCTTACATGGAAGGACTTGGTCAACCACAGCCTCTTGTGGGCATTAAAATACCAGAACATTGCACAGGGACCTGACTGTAACATGGAGGCCTCCAAACAGGCCCCCAAGGACAGGGGTCATAGATAGCAATCCAGGCTGCCAGGCAGCAGTGGAGGCCTCTGGTTGGATGGCTCATCTCTGGTTGAAGACGGTTTGAGGCAAAAACTCCAGCGAACATGTCTAGAGAGAACTGAGGCATAAGGGAACAATTTTGCCTGCCAGAGCTGGTGGCCAGACAGGTGACTCCTGGAGAGGCCAAAGCTGACCCCCAGAGAGGAGTGGAGTCGGAGGCCCCAGCACTGTGGCTGGATCTGTGGGCTGGGGAGGGGCAGAGAGCTCTGAAAGAAGAGTCTGGAGAAGGAAGATGCCTTCTTTGAAGGCTATTGAGAGCCTTCAAAGCCAGGAGAGAGCCAAAACTGTCTGGGATGGCAGGGGGTCCGTTGTTATTTCCAGAAGCTGCCTGAGGCTCTGCTCCCTCTCCTGCAGCAGTAGGTGGGCTTTGGGGTCTCTGGGAAAGCCCAAGAGGCCATGGGTGCCTGCCATGGGGAGCAGGTGACAGGAAGTGAGGTGGACTGACTCCTTGGCACAGGACCTAAGGCCTGGCATTATTCAGGACAACGTGCTGCTGTGCCCACGGATGGGGCAAAGGCCAGAGTAGATCCCTTCTAGGCCCAGCCCTTCACCTGAGCCCAAGTGCGTGTCCAGTGGCCACAGAGACCTCTGGGACATACCCAGGAAACAGGCCCCAGGAGGAGCCAAGGAGTCTTCAAGCCCACCCACAAACTTAGGGCCTGGGGAGATTACCCCACCTGGCCTCTGCCCTTCATACCTCTCCTCTCTCTCCACACAGGAGCCCCTGCACAGTCCTACAGCATCAGATGCAGAGCCCCTGAGCGCAGTACTGTCAGGAAGGAACGTGGGTACCGGGGGACAGCTGTCCTTCACCAACGCTGGCCTGGACACCACAGACCTGTGACGGGGGCCCTTCTACAGAGCTCCACATGGGCCCTGACTCTTCTAGTCTACCTCGGAAGAGGCCCTGTCTCCCCCAAACTATACCTACCCTCTCTGAATTTAATAATACATTGTGTTGATCTGCCCCCTTCTGCTTGTAGCTAATCACAGCTGACAAGAGTTGGGGAATATTTTATTACCAATGTACATTGTGACAGTTTGTAGCCAAAAACTTCGCTGGAGGAGTGGGGATGGGGTACTTGAGTGGTCCTCAGGGATTGGTGGGGCTCACAGCACAGGGGGGACAAAGGGCTGGAGAGGGCAGCCTTTAAAGGACAACTGTGGTTGTAGAATGAGCTCTCCATTCTGCCCCAGTACCCAAGACCAGCTGTCACTCAGGCTGCCTGTGGTCCAAGTCCAGACCTGTCTGAGACCTTCTAACCTTTCTGACCTTCTGACTCCTTTCAATTGCACCCCCAGGGCACTCCTGCAGCTGCCTTCCCTGGCTGGGAATTGTGAATGAGTGTCCTGTGAGGGTGGACATAGGGGCTGGGGGTTGGACCAGGTGAGGGGGAGACTGGAATTGGGGATGACTACCATCAGCATGCAAGAGATGCCCGGGCCATGGGGGCCAGCCTGTGGCGAGGACTTGTACTCATACATGCCCAGGGCCTCACATTCAGAACCTTGCACACTCAGGAGCCTCGCACACTCGAAGCTTTTGTGCAGTCTCTTCCTTCCATTCTGGGGAATTGGCGGCCACTGTCAGCACATCAGTCTAGACATCTCAGGAGCCTGCCTCAGCTCTCAGGGCTGGGGATTGGGGTGCTGAGCGGGTGCCCAAGGTTGAGGTCACCCAGTGTGATGGGGAGGGAGTGGAGCTGAGGCTGTGAGGAGACAATAGGGTGTCAGGGCTGGGACCCGTGGGCTCATGACCATGAGGGAGCTAGGTAGAGGGGGTTCATTTGTGTGGGAGGGGAAGCGGGTTAGAAAGGGGATGAGAGGGCCCTAGAGGCTGCCCACCCCTCCGAGGCCTGTCGTGCCTCCAGGGGATCCCTTCTATTGGTCTGGGGTCAAGAAGGGAGCCTGAGAAGGTTGGAAACCTGGGCGTACAAAAGGGGAGCAGGTCACTCGGCCGTGGGTCCCGCCCGTGAGCAGCACCGCGGCCGGCGGACGCTCTGCAGCAGCGCACGGAAGAGGCCAGGCGGGCGTTTGGCGGCGCCCTCGGGGGGCGCGGCACGCACAGAGCCCGCACGGCCCGGGCCCGGGCGGGCGCGGC